ATTGACATACAACAATACAAATCGACGCAGGACGTAGGTATTACGCCTTCTTGGCGGCGGCCGAACTCGGATAAAACCTCGTGTCTGTCTTGCGTCACCATCTTGTTTGGGACTTGCGCACCTGTCTGCCGATAATCTACTACCTTGGGCATACCCCTAGGTAGACTGCCGACCATATTTCGTCGACACCCCACATATCCACCATCACAACAAAATTATAAGCAAAGAAGCTTGAAAGGAGCTAGATGTGGAAAATGATGGAGTGAAGTCCCACTTCTAGCATTTGTTTCTAATCCTCTACTTCATTGTACTAAATAAAGTTTCATAGCTTAATCTCAATGGGCAATATTACCTCCACAATAGGCACATCGGGCACAAGATAGAGTGGCTTAGCTCACACCAAAGCTCTCTAATATATAACACTCTAACTAGCAATACCTTATTACCTATAGAAATATACCACCTTAAATGAAAGAACAAACTTATATTGCGATAGTTTGATTCGTGATGGATCTCATAATATCGGCATCATATTGTTGATATGTATATAACTTTACAAATTCATAACACACGCATGCATACTCATCCCTGTGAATACCTTCGAGAGAGAATGGGTTGGCTCCTTGCTATAAACCAACACATAGCCTAATACTAATTAATATAGTAAATAACTAAAAATCCAAGCTATAGTCCACTGTAAGGATCAAATCAAGGAACTAACCGAGCTAACCTAAACTAAATTCTCTTATGCTTTCTTACTTGTAGTTCTAAGGAACTTGGTTAACAACACAAATGGCTTCATAGTAAACATAAACTAAATTCTCTGCTCGTGTTTTTTATGAATTTATTTATCGAAGTCTGTACTGCTAAGGAACTTGCTTAACAACTCAAATGACTTCATCTAGAATTAAAAAAAAAGTATGTATATATTCTTATACTTTACAAGTGCTACATTCTTCGTTCTTATACCGGTAGTAGAAATACGGAGCTAATTAATAAATCTCAGATGTATATGAGCCGGTAAATATATTGCAGAAGCAGCAGAGAGTTGCCTTGTTGTACTCGTTCATGGTAAACTAGTACATTCTGTTATCGACTATTAAACTTGTTTTGGTTTGAACTAAAGGTTTCGACTGTCAAATGCAGAATCTTTCCATCCAATTTCCCAAACTACACAACCCAGCATGAGGGAGTCCCTTTTTCACACTGCATGGTTGGCTGGTCCGGTCCGTACGGCGCACAGTTCGTATTTCCACACAACACAGGAAGCTCGTCCACGCACTACTTATCTCACACCATCGCATCCGATCCCTCATGCCAAGCACGTCGGAATCACACTGACTCGGAACAGCAGCATCCTGAAAAATAACGAGTGCGTGGAGACTGGGATTTGGCCCCCGATCGATCAGTTTGGCAGGGCACGCAACGCACGCACTACCCGAGCTGGTAGCCAGCACCACTGCCGGCTAAGCTAACCACGCAGCGTCACTTCGCGGAAGCTTCGCCCCTGCCGTCTGCCGAGAGAGCAGTGCAGTGCTGTGTGTGTATCGTCCAGTGTCAACCGCGACGGATCACACGACGAAATGAAGCCGCACCCAACGCAACCACCCCCCGTCTCCCAATTTCCACCCGTTTTCTCGAGGCCGCACCTACTCCGATCCGCCACTCCTTTTCTTTAAGAATTTCTCGGGGATTTTCCAGGCCAAAGTGGTAGCGTCAGCTATCCCACTCGCAGACTCGCAGTTGCAGGGCCAAGTACTTGGCGGAAGCAGACGGGCACCTTCCTGCGCGCTGCAAGGACAGGACAGGACGAGACGAGCCGAGCCGAGCCGATGCCATCACGTCATGCAAGTGACCTTCCTCCTCCCGCCCGGCCCTAAAGCTGTCACGCCGCCCAATATTCCTTGCCCTCACCGTCGGGTCGTATATATATATATATAGCTCGCTTCCACCCCCACCATCTCTCCAACCACAACCCAGCGCATCGCAGCGGCGGCAACTCGTCGGAGCAAGCAAAGCAAAGCTACCTCCTTTCTTCGCACTACAGACCAATCAAGCTCGATCACCGATGGCTGAGAGGACGAACGCGATGGCGGCGCCGCGGCCGCTGCTGCGCCGGATGCTGTCGTTCCGGGAGCCGCTCCTGGTCATCCCGTACCTGCTCAGCTTCCTGGGCGCCGCGGCCTCGGCGCTGGCCCACAGCCACTCGTCACTGCTGCACTCGGTCGCCAGGGCGCTGTTCCCGTCCGCCGCCGCCAACGCCAAGCACGCCGCGCCGTCGTCCGCTGCCGTCGCCGTCGCTGCACCGCGCCCGGACGACAGCGACGGCGAGGACGACGCCGCGCTGAGCAAGGCGGAAGTGGAGGCGATCATGGCCACGATCGGCCTCGCGGCGGCCGGGCGCGGCGAGGGCCTCGCGGCCGCCATGGGCCTCGACGACGTCCGCGGGCTCTTCGACGCCGAGGAGCCCAGCTTCGCGGAGGTGCGGGCCGTCTTCGCGGTCTTCGACGCCGACTGCGACGGCTTCATCGGCGCCGAGGACCTGCAGGGCGCCCTGGCGCGGCTGGGAGTCCGGCAGGACGACGCCGCGTGCCGCGCCATGGTCGTCGCGGCCGGCGGCGGCCGGGACGCCCGGATGAACCTGTTCCAGTTCGTCAGGTTCCTCGAGAACGGCCTGTGCTGACGAGGCTGCAGGGCCGGAGGAGCTGACTGTTCCTTCATTTTTTTTCTTCTTCGTTTCGTCGCCTCAACTGCTCGTGGCAGGAGATGAGAGAGTGTACGTACCATTCTGAGGGGTGTTCGTTGGTCGGTTGTGTTTTTCCTCCTGCCATGAGTTTTGGGGGTGGACTGTGCAGCAATTAACGTACTAATTCCCAAGTTAAGAACAATCAAATTAATGGAACTAATTTGCCGGTTGCAAACATCTCGCTTTGACGATCATCTACTGTCTACACTGATGATATATCCCGAATGCCTTCTTTTTCTCTTTTTATTTTTGCCAACTCGAATGCCTTCTCTGAAGAGACGATAGATTATAAATTCTTATTGATTTAGCATGATCACTTGATCAGACAGACAATCCGCTTCATTAGCGTAAAGGTCAATCCTCGTGGTGGAGAACTTGTTGGAACTCACTGTTCGTAGTCCACCACACGCCCTGGAATTTCTGCAAATTTCGGTCAAAAGTTCAAGCGCAATGATTTCAACCTTCAAAGCATTGTTTGGGGTCTGTCCCCACCGATTTCGCCGAGGCTTTGTTTAGATTGGGGTTAGGAATCAGTATTTAACACTGTAGCACTTTCGTTTGTATTTGATAATTATTATCGAATCATGGCCTAACTAGGCTTAAAAGATTCGTCTCGTAATTTACAATCAAACTATGTAATTAGTTATTTTTTTATCTACATTTAATACTCCATACATGTGTCTAAAGATTTAATGTGATAAAGAGAGTGAAAAAAAAACTTGCAATCTAAACAAGGCCCAAGTCTGGTCGGGTCCGTTTCATCAGGGTCACAGCTTTGTGTTCCTGTCATTAGTTGGCGTTGATGCCGGCCTGATCCAGAGGCTGCTGTGGCGGCGTCCTTCCAGGAAGTTTCGCCGGGGGTGCTGCTGCTGCTGGCGTTGGAAACTTGCCGGCATGACATCGACGTGCCCGGAAGGGTCCCCTGCACGGGCTTGGAAGCTGTCAGGAAGCTAGCCTGGGGTTGCAGCCTGCAGGTGACCGCTCTCTGGTGTCTGGATGCGGTGTCATGGACATGATAAACGACACCGCTGACGGGCAGTCGCTGGTCTCCGTCGCATCCATGAATATACGCTTGGCTTATAAGCCTCACAGCAAATTAGACAACGGTACTTTTCAGCTATGATTTATCAACCAAAGAAACATGACAATATTCTCGATATCAGAAAGAGAGGAGGATTGAAGAACTGCCCGCTTTAATTTCTTGTGAGAATCTGATCACGGGAGGCTCGCGAGATATGCAGTGATCGTAAATTTTCAGTCAGAATAATATTTTTTCTCTCATACCAAACCAGCCAGCAGTAATAATCAACGATCGTGTATAGGATCGTTTCAGCCCCAGCCGAAGAGGCTGCTAGACTCTCCACGGCATATAATAAATTAAAAAGCGACCAGTTTTGTATGACCGTGCGTTCGGTATACGATTCCTTGACCTCAAGATAGCAGCTGCGGGTTATTTGTATTATTATTACCAGTTTTTCAATCATCACCAGGGTAGATAGTTATACTATTTTAAAACTTTGTTTTTAAAATTTTCGAATAGGCCTATTAGTTCAGTTGATTAGAGTTCGAGACCTGTATGGGCCATATTTTTAAATTTTTTTGATACAATGTTTTTTTTTTGTGCAGTGAACTCTGAACTTGTACGTTTTTTGGTGCAATGATTTTTTTTTGTGCAATGAACTCTGAACTTGTACGTGGGTTTGGTGCAATGATTTTTTTTTGTGCAATGAACTCTGAACTTGTACGTTTTTTGGTGCAATGATTTTTTTTTTTTGGTGCAATGAACTCTGAACTTGTACGTGGGCCTGCAATGAACTCTGGACTTGTACGTGGGTCTGCAATGAACTCTGGACTTTTACGTGGGCCAATCACACATATTCATGCTTTGCTTGCCACATTTTTCTATTTTGTTCTTTTTTTATTTTTTAGCGCAATTCGTCTGAACTCTGGACTTGTACGTGGGCCAATCACACACATTCACGCTTCGCTTCGGCCTAGAATTCTTTAACACAACTGGCCCATAAGTCACCACCTCTTGGGCTTCTAATCCTAGTTTCATCTAGCGAGGGAAGGGATGCCTGACTAGCCCATAGGCCACATCCCACTTATCGAATCAAAAACCCTAGCATAGCCACAGGGGAAGTCTATCGAAGCAAGCACGCGTCTCCACTCTCCAGCTAGTCCGGCGCAGGCTCCGTTCCCCCGCTGTAGTTCGACCAGGCGACCGGCGGCGACGCGCTCGTGGTTTCCAGCGATGTCGGCGCAGGCGGGGACAGGGACGTACTCCCCGGCGGCGGCCGCAGGGGACAAGCGGCGGGAGAGGAAGGAGGAGCTGCGGCGCCACCTCGTCGAGGACGCCGATTGGCCCCGCACCGACGGCCGCTCCTTCCACGACTGCCGGCCAGCGTGTAACTACCCCCCCACACACACACACACACACACGTCCTCTCTCTACCTGCTCTTGCTTGAGAATTTTGGTTACTTGCCTTTCGTCTGCTCTTGCCAACCCCGTACTTATGGTGTTCGACGTTACGCGTGATGAGTGAGGGCGTGGTACACTGGACATGGCATTCGTTGGGTTGAACTCCGTTTAGTTACTGTGTCGTCTACTGCTTTGGTTCCATGCCTCTTTAAACGATCTGTCCCGTGCTTGTATGCCAATGTGGTCTACTACAATTTGAATCTTAACCTTCATTTGAACGATACTACCTGTTGTTCTGTGGAGTTGAAACTATCAGTATTCATTTCTGGATCATGTAATTAATTGATAATTTACAATGTGTCTTGCAGTTATGCAGACAGGACCAACTACTGCTGCATCAGGGTCTGCTTATGCGGAATTTGGGAAGACAAAGGTCATTGTATCGGTGTAAGTGCAACATTCTTTGGTACCACCTGCTTTTCATAGTATGTTTTATGTTTTGGAATATCAAATGTGAAAAGATAGTGTTTCACTTAAATATTCCACACATCAATCTACTCTCCTTGCCTGTTAAATGTTTATATCGGTGTCTTTGCAATCAAATATGAGCAAGTTAGGGTCAACCAAAGCAGCCCTGTAACTTTATAAGCACCGGCTTTCAGTCATTCAGTGTGATTATTTCAGTTTCATATATTTCTTGTTGGTGATCTGACAATCATGGTTTTAGTTTTGTGCTGCTTGTGCTCTTACCACTTATGTGTTTAGTTATAAGGTCAATAGTGCTCACTGGAGAAATTACTTGGGCTGTAGTATGCAGTGGCGGAGGGAGGGCCAGTTCATAGATTTGTGAAATAAACAACAATGGACAGTACTAATTTTACTGTTCAACTAGTGCAAAAATAGCATTGGCAGGGGTGGCCATGGCCCACTTTGGCCATAAGGAAGCTCCGCCAGTGCTACTATGTGTTTCTTAGCATTGCGATATTTGAATTTCGTCTAATCTTGTCTGTGAACTTGCCAACTTGTGAGATTCTTTGCTTATATTGAATCTGTCGTTTTGGTTGATCATTCCTCTTTGTTTAATGATTAACTTTGCAGGTTTGGACCAAGGGAAAGTAAGAAAGCAATGATGTACAGTGATGTTGGTAGGCTCAATTGCAATGTGAGCTATACAACATTTGCCACTCCAGTGCGTGGACAGGTACACCATGTTTACCTCTCTTGTCTCTGTTTGGACTAACTGTTGGAAGGTATTGGAGTTGATTGCATTCATCTTATTTCCAGGGAACAGACAACAAAGAGTACTCATCGATGCTTCATAAAGCTTTGGAAGGCGCAGTAATGCTACACACTTTTCCAAAGACCACTGTTGATGTTTTTGCCTTGGTTCTTGAGTCTGGTGGCAGTATGATACTATTCTAGCCTTGATGTTTTTGTGTAAAATATAATACTAGATTTTTTTTTACATATGTGAAAGTTCTCTTCATGTTTAAGAAGTAGGAAAACATTGAAATGCTGCTCATCTTCGTAACATGCTAGAGCCTTAGCCTTGGTCTAACGAGTTAGAGCTAAGCCATAAATGACAAATACATAGTTTGAACATGTTATCCATTGTATTTGCTTATTTTACAAAACTGTATGTGGTTAACGTGTTTTGAGTTGTTAATTCTTGAGTCAGTCAGATATTGCTAATTTGTCGGTAGAAATGATGGTACACTTGTTGTTTTAAAGAAAAGGACAGTTTTACACCCATCTTCAATTCTATATTTGTATTGTTTCAGTGGAAACCTTTCTTTTGTGACCAATTATTTCTGCATAAGTTTTCTTGTTAAAATGCAGAACCTTACTTGCAGTTGTTTCCTTTCAGGTGATCTTCCCATCATTATATCATGCGCTAGTCTTGCACTGGCAGATGCTGGAATCATGCTGTATGACCTTGTTACATCTGTATCTGTGGTATGACCCCATGTTGTCTCTGCTCTATGATACTCGCACCTAAACCATCAGTTAGTTAAACTTGAGGATGACCAGATTTTACTTCCTTGTCCAGTCATGTTTTGGTAAGAACATCATCATCGATCCAACCTCAGACGAGGAAGCATGGCAAGATGGAAGCCTTGTGGTGGCTTTCATGCCAGCCCGCAAGGAGATCACACAACTCACGCTCAATGGAGAGTGGAGTGATGGCAGAATAACCAATGTATGGCCTACCTACTGCGTTAGAAGAGATGGTATCAAAGTTGTAACAGGTACTAACATCTTGTTACCTTTGTCAACAGGCAGTAGAGCTCTGTATGGATGCTTGCAGTAAGCTCGGTGACATATTGCGTGACCGCTTGAAAGATACCGCCACCTTGATTAGTGAATGACGTGGCAGAGACAAAACACTTGCAACAACATATATCCTTAGCTGTACAAATTTTGTAGGCAAGGGAGGCTTGTAGGCCTGACGTTTGAGTAAGCATGCATGGTTGTCTCCTTCAAGGGCGAACTGTCAAGCTGGGAAGAAATTGCAGGGCAGTGTGTATTTGCCATGTAACGTACTCCTGACTTCTGACCTTTGGCTTCGTGTAGCATCTATATCTTTCTTTTTCTGCTTACTGTAATACTCCTTGCACTACGGTGACTTGGATTCTATTGATACTGCCCTTAATTTTTGGTTCGGGCGAGAAAAACATTTTACCGCTCTGAGATTTTTACCCAATTATTTCCACGTGTTTTAGGTCCGATTCAGAGATGGTAATTTCACATGATTTGCTACATGAAATTTTTAGCCTAGTTACTAGTTACTACTCCGTTGAAAGTTTGCAAGCTTGCCACTCATGAGCCATCCATTGCAGCATTGCACTACGCGGTAGCAGCTCGACCAGCAACACAGTCGGCCAGTCTTACTGACAGTGGGCCACACGTTCCTAATCCCCTTCCTAGCACCACAAAAATATCTCGATTCTGACAAATATCCGAACAGCCAGGCGCGAGCCGTTCCCCCATACCGTGGCGGTGAGGTATTTAAGCCCCTCCTCACTCCCCAACTCCTCCCGTGCCATCGCCATTCATTCACCTCCAGCTCTCCAAGCCCCGGAACCTTATCACCAAATCCTCATCCCATCCCGAGCGTCATGGCGGCCGCGCTCGTCTCCACCTGTCTCTCGCCCCGCTTCATCGCCCTGTCCTCCCCGAAGCCGGCTGCGCCCGCGGCCTCAGCCTTCCTCCCCTTCAGGCCGCCGCTGCGCACTGTGTCGGCGCCGGGGAGGCGGGTCTTCGAGCCCGTGGCCGTCGCGGTGTCGTCGGAGTACGAGACCGAGGGAGCGGAGCAGGAGGAGGAGGGAGCCGAGGAGTTCTCCGAGGACCTCAAGCTGTTCGTCGGCAACCTGCCGTTCAGCGTCGACAGCGCGCAGCTCGCCGGGCTCTTCGAGCAGGCCGGCTCCGTCGAGATGGTTGAGGTATATACAAGTTTTCCGGTCCTCGTCTTCGTAATTACTAGTCGTCAGTTGAGTTTACTTGAAATTCAAATTTCTACCTACTGTGCTATGGTCACTAGATGAGCATTGTTACATTTGGGCTGGTTCGAATTATAAGTTAGATTTACATGCAGTTAAATATCTGAAATGTCTAATTGGTTCGGTACTACAGTAAATACTAAATAAGTATAGTGGCAAGAACCGTCATGTTATTCAAATTGTCAATTCCAACCACATAGCTGCATGCATGAGTTAATTTTTTTGTGTTTGAATACCCTAAGATTTCTTTGTGTTTTAGGTTGTGTATGATAGAATGACTGGACGGAGCCGTGGATTTGGATTCGTGACAATGTCTTCAGCTGAAGAAGCCGGAGCTGCTGTCGAGCAATTCAACGGTTATGTGAGGATACTTCCACTCTTTTAAGCTAACTGTCTCTTGGTATGCTTCTGAATCTGATGATCAGCTATTTAACTGAAGGAAAATGTGCAGCAGTACTGATAAGACAGTGGTCTATACTAGATTGTAATGCTGGTGTTTTGTGCCAGTTCTTAAGATTTTCAGATTCAGGGTTTGCAGTTTTGCACCAAAGTTTGAAATACATTGTTTTTGAAAGTAAAAGTTTGCAATACTCAAAAACCTGAAATCAGAATCATACCTTATAACTAATTATTGCTCATAGTTTCCAGCTAGCTGTTTGGGACTGAATTGCTTCTATTGAGTGCATAGTGCGTCACATTGCAGATAAGATTCTTGACTAATTAACCTTGCCTCACAAACAGACATTTCAAGGAAGACCACTGAAGGTGAACTGTGGACCGCCACCACCTAGAGATGAATCCACTCCAAGAGTGCCAAGGGGTGGTGGTGGCGGTGGTGGTAGCTTTGTTGATTCAGCGAACAAGGTCTACGTGGGGAACCTTGCATGGGGCGTTGACAACTCGACTCTGGAGAACCTATTCAGTGAGCAAGGGCAAGTGCTTGATGCTAAGGTCATCTATGACAGGGAGAGCGGCAGGTCAAGGGGGTTTGGTTTCGTCACCTATGGCACAGCCGCGGAGGTCAACAATGCCATATCAAACCTTGATGGCATCGTAAGTTCTATGCCATTTTGATCCTTTCATGTATCTTGTACATTGTTATACATAGAGGATGTGCTAATCTGAATGCTTTATCGTAATGCAGGACTTGGATGGTAGACAGATCCGAGTCACGGTTGCAGAATCAAAGCCGAGGCGTCAATTTTGAGATTTTGTTAAGGCGGTTTAGAGGTTATTAATAGTGTGTTTCACAAGTTTTAGTTTGTAGCGTCTATTCTTTCCTCCATATGAGTAACAAGAAGATGCTGATAATGAGAAACTGGAAGTGAAATTGCTGTACACAGGAAGATATTTTTCCCAGCCCTACAATGAACACGCCCTCTTATGCTCATTGCGCCTTCAAACAGAAGTAGAAATCTAACAAGGTTGTGCCACATGCGAACGTAACAGGCAGTCATGAGCACTTTTTTCTGAATGTTCGTGATGGCATGTATGAATGTATGGTGTATGATCCTTCTGGAAAGATGAATTTATTTGTTTCAGCTTTACCACAAAATTGACAATTCAAATCTCCTTGCCATCGTCTATTTAGGAAGTTATCTTTAGCCGGCATACTTTTTTTCTAATTAATACTAGTGGATTCTAATATTTGACTGTGTCGTTCTGTTGTACTTGTGCTCAGATTGTCTATTTATAGCCTGAATATTCATATGCCCACACAATGGTATCCCTGCTCCTGATGAGGTAGGCTGGTAGGGGGGGAATTTCAGCTCTAGAAAAAAACTTGTATTCAGTTCAAAATGAAAACCAACTTTGTCTAGAGAACTACAGAACTTTTCAACTCATTGGTAATTCTTGTGGCATAGTGGTTGTGGAAGCATTGAAATAGCTACGTGTTTGAGGGTGCTTCTCCAAATATCCGGTTGGTGTATTCAGATTTCAATACATGTTTGATGGTGCTTCTCCAAATACCCGGTTGGTGTATTCGGTGCTTCTCCAAATACGCGGTTGTGTATTCAGATTTCAGTACGTGTTTGAGGGTGCTTCTCCAAACACCTGAAACCCGATTGGTGTATTCGGATTTCAAGGATGAAAGCAGGGTTTGGTAGTTGGCCCTTGGCCGGAGCAAACAGCCAAAGAGGTTGAGTTCTCTGTGGCCTTATGCCCTCATCAGTTATCCCTCTAGGTCGTCTATTTATGTTCTAAGGCATCTAAGCACGTTTGTGATTAGCTTTTGCTATTTCTTCTCTATGCGTGTTGATGTTTGCGATTACAAAGTACCACTCAGACACTCACAACGCACGCACACTTGCCCGTATGAATGCACAGTGGTGTGTTTGTTTTTCTCTGTCTATTTGTTTTCAATTTTTTGCTTTACAATTCGGTGTTGTTTTTTTAATCATTTTCTCTAAAGTGAAGAAAAAAGGGTCTCTTTTACCTCCTTCAACTATCACCCGAGCTCAGTGAAAGCATCTAGGCCCCTAGTTGGGTTTCAGTGATTAATGACGATACAAGATTACTATGACTAACATGTGTTTTGCAGAGACAATTTGAGTTAGGTCATGGTAATGGCAATTGATTGGGCAATCATGGTTGTCATGCTCCTGTCGATGGAAATCGTTTGGTTTTCAAAGGATGGACGACAAGGTTAAGGACGGACTAGTTCTAAGTGTCGTTTGGTGATGGAGAGACACTTAGAATAGTTTAAGACTTTGTTTTTCCTTTGACCGTACTATTAAGGGGGTATGGACTAGTACCTTGACCTAGATAAGTCTAGTGGGTTAGATATGGTGCACACTTGTCAAACCTAGCACTAGTTAGCTCAGGAATAGCCCTAAGATCAATTGGAGTAAACTTCATTCACATATGATTTCGAGTTGGAAGTGAATGGAGGGTCAAATGATTAACCGGACGCTGGTCTGGTTGTGACCGGACGCTGGAGGGTGAGTCCGGTCAGTTCATTTGATCAACTGGAGTCGTCTGGTACTGACCGAACGCTGAGTGGTAACTGACCGGATGCTGGGTACCTACGTCCGGTCAACTCCAGAGAGGTTCTAGAGAGGTGTTTTCGTGACCGGACGCGTCCGGTCGGTGCTGACTGGACGCTGGTCAGGATCCGGTAACTGACCGGACGCTGAACAGTGAAGTGATCGGACTCTGGTTGCCAGCGTCTGGTCAACATCAGTAAGGTTCCAGAGAGTGTTTTCTTGATCGGACGCGTCCGGTCGGTCTTGACCGGACGGACGGTCGAGTCCCATCGAAACTAACGGCTCTTCTCGACACGATGGCGGGTATATAATCGACGGGAGCGTCCGGTCACCCCGCAGAACGCTGACTTAACCTCCAAACGTTATGTTTTGAATGAGGGGGTATAAATACTTACTCCACTCATCCAAGGGAGGTCTCTTACCCATTTGTTCAGCTGAGAAACACCTTAAGAGTGTAAGGAAGAGCAAGAGCCTAGTGAGGTGATTGAGATTTGAGAATCCAAGATTAAGGTCCTTATTAGTGCAAGTAGAGTAGCAAGTGTGCATCCACCCTTCTCATTAGGTTTGTTGTGGTCAAGTGAGAGTTTGTGCTTGTTACTCTTGGTGATCGCCGTCACCTAGACGGCTCGATGGTGATTGGGAGCTTGGTGATCATCTGGCGGAGCTTGTGGATGACCCAACTCAAGTTATGAGCGGTTGTGAGCGATTCACCGCGACGGAGTGTCGAAGAATCAGTCCATAGAGAGCACTTGATCCTTGCGCGGATCAAGCAGGAGCTACACCCTTGCGCGGGTGCTCCAACGAGGACTAGTGGGGAGTGATGACTCTCCGATACATCGGAAAAACATCACCGCGTTCTTTTCCCTCTCTTTACTTTGAGCATTTATATTTGAGCAATTCATTTATTGTATTTACATTCCTAGAATTGCTATGTTATAGTAGGATTTGAACATAGGGTGTAAAATTTTTGTGCGATAGAACAATAGAAACACATTCTAGGCACAAGGGATGAAGTGGGCTAAGTGTAGGGCTTAATTAGTGCAAAGAATTTAGAATTAGCCCAATTCACCCCCTCTTGGGCATCTTGATTCTTTTACTCAGATTTTCTTCTCGAAATCCGAAACTAGACATCTGGCTCACTCAATTCTCATAACCGTTTCAAGTTTCAATTAACTCCTTGCGCCGGTTAGAAATGGTTTTCAAGGTGGTTTTGTCTTTTTAGCTAAATGGATTCCAGTAAACACCTGACAAGTTTTAAAAAATCATGAAAAAAATGTCTCTAAGCTTCTAAAAAGTTAGAGAAAACCATGGAGGGAACCAGAAATCCAGATCAAATATTCTAAACTCATGAAAATATCTCTAGAAGTTTCCAAAAAATGGATTAGCTTTAGAAGAAATGGAAACATATATAGAAAAAAACTATTTCTAATTGATGTCTAAATGTCCTTTTAAAACTTTTACAACAAAAAAAGAGGCAACCAATATGAATGTATTCAACATTGATGTATGTTTGCATTTAATGCTAGTTGCATATTGTGTTTTTGTTGTGGAAAGTTTTTAGAGTGCATCTAGACATGGATTATAACGCTTGAAGTCTCTATTTTTTATAATATTTTCCCATTTCCTAGGGCCAAATCTAATCTTTGGAAACTTCTACATATATTTCATGATATTTAGATTTTTTTTTTGGGTTTCTTGTGTCTCAGTACATCTCTATGTTTTTTTATCATGATACTTTATAAGTTTAGAGACATAATTCGTGGTTTAAGAACCTTATATGACGTTTATAAAATTTTAAACTACTTGAAAACCACTTTTATTTGGATAAGGGAGTTAATTAATTTGGTTAATAGTTCAGAAGTAAAGAATTTTTTCCTAACGTAAATGCTATTGTGCTATGAACTCTCTAAACGAGCTGAGCGAAAGCAGCAGGCCAGCAGCGACCCAACAGCCCATGAGGATGAGGCCCAGTCCAATCGCTACCTGCCCGTCCCCCTCCTATCACGCAATCGCACGCAGGCGTCGCCGCCGCGGACGGACAGATTCCATTCGCCCCCGGCCCCGATCCATTTCTCACCAGAAGCGAAGACGAAGGCAGAGGAGAAAGGAGGTCGCGAGCAAGCCGGAGCCGGAGAAGATGAAGACGTTCGATCCGTGGCCGGTCTTCTTCCGCCGGGAGTGGAGGCGCAACTGGCCCTTCCTCACGGGGTTCGCCATCACCGGCTTCCTCATCACCAAGATGACGGCCAACTTCACCGAGGAGGACCTCAAGAACTCCAAGTTCGTCCAGGAGCACAAGAGGCACTGACGAACCAGGTGAGGCCCCGATCCGCTCTTACCCGTCCCCAGTCTCTACATACGAGGTAGATCTGCATCTGCGCTCCTCTCTGTGATGCGGCGCCTGTAATGCATACATCTCGCCTTGGTTGGATTCCTGCAACCGTGTCGGATTCCGAGTGCTACTCGGCGTGTCCCAAAAAAATCTGGCGATCGGACACCCGCACCCGCACCGGTGTCCATGTAACACTGTAACCCCTTCAATGACCTTAATCATCTCTTATAGCAGATTTTGTTGGGTGTACTCATTATTTTTCTGCCTAATTCCCGTTGATGTTTACAACCTACAATTTGACCAGTAAAACATGCGGGTCAGGAAACAGCCTTTGGGTGAATTAGCTTATCTGACCATATCTGACATGTTATTACTTATTAGCATCAGCCAGTAGCACGTGTGTGAACCTTAGTAGAATCATACTTGTTAGCAAAGTAGCAAACAACTAGCAGTGGCACTTGGTAAATAACTACTTTGTCTGTTGATATCCTTGAGGAGTTGGAGGATTAAGCAGTTGTCCAGCACAAAACCAGCAAGCCAACCATAAACTAGTCAACTCCATTGTCCTTGTCAGAAGGAAATACTGATGAGTAAAAAGTATTTAACTCCATCGCCAGGTTCAGTTTTGTAGCCCTGCACAATATGAAATGAAATAGGCGCCTATATTTGACGGTTTCCCAGTCTGCTGGTCCAGTCCATCCAAATAGATGGAACATATGAATTCATGAACTGTTTGCTGACCAACAGGAAACAGATCTTGCTTTGTTGAAAGCAGTGAGCAGCAATGCTCCAAATCCATCTAACCGAATGAAACCAGTGATTTGAACTTTCAACTCATTGTAAAAGGACAATGGAATCTTCTGACAAGAACGGCCCTGACTTGAAATACATCTCTGCGCTCCAAATTCTCTTAGTAGCAATTCATTCATCCAATTTCACATCTCAGGGTTGCACAGAACTAGAAAATGTTTCTCCTCTTTCAGATTTCTTAACATTTCCTAACGGAACATGGCCAACACCATTTTACTCAACTGACACCAAGATCATTGTGTTCTTTTAGTTTCTGTTCCTATATTATAGTCAGCATCTCACTTGAGAATACAATGCAAGGGTGTATTTTTGCATTAACCAGTGCATTAGCTAGCACTTGTGAAGGATTCACTGACAGCCAAAAGGGCACCAACTGGTAGTTTGTGATTTTGTTCACATGTTAAGCAATCTATGATTTATGGTAAAAAGGTGTTGGGTTTCTTGTATTGTGGAACCTATAATGAGGACTCTACAGGATGCCTTGCAAAACCAATCCAAAACCATGGTCAGCAACTGAATCCTTACCTAAATTATCTGTGCTCCTGGCTTGATCTTTTTGTAAATGAAACTGGACATTAATTGTTGGTTTTGAGATGCCTATGGGTAGAATTAAACTCTCAATATGTAAATGAGCATTGTCATTAGATGTGAAGCTAATTGATTGTTGAGGTCCTTAGGACACGTGACAACTTTTTTGTTTGAAAATCACTGAAATATCCAATGAGATTTGTCTTTTCCTTTCTAATGATCTCTGATGTTTATCACTGCTAAAACCATGTTTAACATTATATGTGTTTGCTGTTTGACATTTTCTGTTATGTTGGCATGCTTGATAAGAATTTGACTAGTGAAACAATTACTGGTTGGTTGTGACATCACTGCTTTCATCCCTAAACCTTTCCATGTCATAAGTACCGCTAGAAACCTAGGCAAAGTATCATTCCCTACAGTTTTCCTGAAAAATGGTAGGGCATTTTTTCTTTCCTGTCAAAATGTTCCCTAGTAGGAAATTAAAATCTGCAGGGAAACATCTTCCCCACTATCTTCTCCTTGATGTTTCCTCACTGTCTTTTGCTTGCTCCTTAGGAACTCAAGTTGTAGGTAACCTTGCAGATTCTAGTAGTGCTGGGAGGATCACCTATGTGTATCAGTTGTCACTGCTAAAAGCCACACTCCACATTGTCTGTGCCCACTGTTTACCACTGCTAGCCCCTTGTGCATTTGGGACCCCATACCTGTCCCTACAGTTTTGTGAAATACTAACGCTTACATTCCCTTGCAGGTAAAGGAGTTGTGTCAGAAACGCCTGTTTGGCCAGCCAGTTCTGTTATGCTTTTGAATGAAAAGAAATAGACCCCTTTTTTCGTTTTTCTTAATCGAAATGCTTGCACTCTATGTTCCATTTTTTATGTAATAAGAGGCAAATGAATTGAGCCAACAGCAATCAGCTTCTGATTGAAAAATATCGATGTGTGGCCTGGGTGTTGTGGGATTGCATCTAATGCTGTCGATTTGGTGGTGAAAATGAAGATTTTGTTATATGATTGGAGCCTATTTGAAAATGAGGGGTGGAGAGCCTGTATGAGTGTATGGCCTTTAGCACTGCAACGTACAAATTGTGAAGCAGAGGGGTGTTGTACCATGACTATCATGAGAGAGTTATTTGTAAAAACCATTCCCTCCCATATATGGATCGGGGAGGGAAGGAGCTAATTCTCACTTGGGGCTGTTTGATAGCAGAATTGGACCAGTTGAAACCCTTTTAGACACAGACGGTATTGTGGCGTGGATTTCGGACCTGAAATTATTCAGGTTTTCTTCGTAAAAGTCAGAAACGGCCTGTGGGTTTCGCATGGATTCCTGTATTTTTTTAGTTAATCTTTTGTAAGTGATATAAATTAAAATGGTTTGCATTTAAGAAGTTGTTCACCCACAAAAAAGTTCTGAAATGTTTTATAAATATTTTCATTTATATAATTTTTGAATAAAATAATATTCTAAATCAGAATCAAGGTTACCATATGAAGTGAATCTGATTTATCGTCTGAAACACGTTTCTGTTTCTTAAGAGAATCTAGAACTGAAATGTTTCTACAAGAATTGATCCCTACCAAACGGACCCTCAATCCTTCGGATTCACTTTAATTCATTTTTAAAATGTGTTAATCCAGGCATCAAAAAGAAAATGTGTTAATCCAAGCAAACCCTGTGGCTTGGTTGAGCTACTAGTGAAAAGCGCGCGCCATCGCGCGCAGAGGCGATAAACGCGTGGTTACATATGGCGCGTGCAGAGGCGATAAACGCGTGGTTACATATATGTTCGGGAGGTACATGATTATAGAATGATTCTGGCATAATGTAACTTCTGAGTTGACTCAATTCATATAGCTCAGGCTACTGAACAATGTGATGATGCAAACCTGAAACATAACATGCAACAAACATAATCACCTTGTAAAACCATTTTGAGTACTGAACAAATTACAGTGATGCTAAGCAGGGAGCTCAATGGAGAGCCAAATACTGGCCTCTAGATGTTTACTGTGTGTCATAGATCATGGTCGATCATGTAGATGCTAATCATGTTAGGAGTATAAAAACAAAAATGATGGCAGGTTACCGCTGAAACCATGGCAACGTTTAATCACGAAATTGGTAAGCATGCCTATCAGTATAATGCAAAGTAATATCAATGTTGGAAATCCAGGGTTTCTTTTTTGTAAACCACATATTTATATATTGTAATACACATTACATAGAAATTAATAAAGGAAACTAAATTTAGGTAAATCAGCGGTACTGAATGAATAGCAAGCAATGAATTAGTGGCAGTGCATGATGCCTAAGAAATAAAGGATAATGTCACATGGCAGCACAACAGAGAAAGCTGGAGCAGTGCTCGAGCAAGGAAAAATAAGAAGGCAATCTTTGTGCAGCCGAATGTTGGATACCTAGAAAATTAGCAAAACAAAAGCGCTAGCATTCATTACTGAAATATAATACTAATCGTAGCAGAATAGGCTGTACAGTTTGTACCTGGCCCTAGGAAGGATCGAAGCCATATCTTATTTGTCCGAGCATGTAAAGCACCGAATTGCTGGAACAAGAAAATCTAGAATGAGCGTATATACACGACAGTTTAAAATATTTCATTTTTATTTAATGGGAATGGCATAATATAGTTTGCTTCATTGGTGGAGCAGTAGGTCTGTATAGAGTATTGATGCAACTATATAAAGTAGAACTATATTGAAAAAGCAGTGGATATATTTGCTGGTTTAACTGAACGTAAAATGGGACTGTGGATGTATAATGAGATGTAAAGAAACAAATAATTTTATAATCAGTAATATGGAGTTATCAGCAACCATGATATTTCATACTAAACAAATTACCATTATGGTTGACGAGCTGACTCTAATAAATTATCACAAAATGATGATTTCTCTTAATCATAATTTACACACTCTGTAAATGTACATATTTTTAGGCATCATCTACAGCACTGTTTCACACAGTCACAAACTATAGCAAGAAGTATTTGAAAAGACTAAATGGATTAAATCGGATGGAGGAGAGATACCGGATAAATGGAGACGTACGCAACCTGCCTTGATCACACACATTTGACATGGTACATTGTGTAAGGAAAAACAACAACAAATGGTGGGTGTTCAGCCGAACCTGTGAGCAAATGAATAGTAGAGTGATCAGGCCACAACAATTGCTCTGTACGGTTACACCAAGGATACAAAGAAATTGCAAATCCCTTAACTCTGCGCACTAATGCTGTGGAGCATTCGGTCGACACAAGGTGGAAAAATAAATAAAGCATGGAAGAAACAACAATCTTAGAACCCGGGTGGTAACAAAAACCTACAAAGGTAACCTAGCAAAATGGAAAAAATTGCAATCAGGAGGGTCTTTGGAGCAGAAATATTTTGCTAAAAGCGGTTAACCTGAACCTGTAAACATTTTGATAGCATGATTGCATGAGTACCAGCAGAGGGAGTTTAGTGTAGCAAAGTAGATTACATCATAATCATAATTATGCAGTATGAATGGGCAGGAAAACGTAAATGCATTGAATGGGGCACTAATTGGGGCCAACCGTGTATGAACCAATGTTTTCAAGTCGTCCGATTAATCGTGATTAATCGTGATTA